GAAATTTTGGTTCGAGAAGGTAAATATAAATGACCACTAAGGGGAACTTCAAGATGACGTACGTACATCAAACAGTTGGCGGAGAACAATTGGAAGTATGCAGCTTGGGTTCGATAGACTTGGCGTAGCTGATCCTGGCATGTACGGATATACCGGCTACTCATCAGCATCAGATCTCTATACCGATTGTCCGAGCAGCTTTACTAAAAATGTAAATATATCTGTATGTGGGTTTGGTGTGACACTTGAGAAACGAGACAGCCGACGAAAAGAGAGAAATTGCCTATTAATAAAGCAAATTTTAAAAATAAAAATAACGGCTTTTTTATGTAAAGCAAATAGCACTGAGAGTTTCGTAGAGAGTTCTGCAGAGAATTCTGAGAAATTCGAAAATAAATTTTAGATATTCAGCTGCTGAACTTGATGATGGCAGTACTGAACATTTGCCTCGCATTCTGCTTCTTCAGGTAAAAACTTAAAAATTTGAATTGTTGGGCAGATAACTTCACTGTTATATATTGTAAATCGCATGAAATAACTGTGTGTGCATGTGTGTTTTGTGTGCGTGTTTATGCTTGGCATCTTGATTAGCACATAATCATAAATGTGCGAGGGTGCGAAGTCAAGCGTTTGCAGGAAGCACTGAAGAGCAGCAACAGGAAGCCAGCGCTTGGGCTATGCAGCTATGGTTTAAAAGCACTTGTAACGATGCTAAACTACGATTCGCCAACAAGCCTAGCATTTCCAGTCGAAACACGCCATTCGCTCGCACTGATGGTTTGTTGCTTGATTATCGACAATGAAAAATGCTTTCATAGAATAAAGATGAGAAGTGCATAAAAGACAAACAAAGCTAAAGTGTAAGCCGGCTGTGAATTGCTCATGTTTAGCTACATTTAAATTTCAGTTAAACTGGGCATCTAAGGAGTCAACTTCGCAAATGACCCAAGCGTTTCAAGGCATATCAGCAATATTTGCTTTGTTTCTCAGATAATTACAATACTTCTCTTGCAAAAATTTCGTTGCGTTTTTGTATTTTTGGCGTAAACCATAAGAATGCATCCTGAGATCATTTCCATGCATATATGTGTGCGCTTTTGTATATGTGTGCACATCGGTGTGTGTGTGTGTGTGTGTGTGTACGTGTGGTTGTTTAGCGCAATGAGTTTGTTCCACAAACAGATGAAGACTCGGCTGCCTACATTTGGCCACTGTTGGAAAAATAAAACACTAGGATGGGACGCGCCAGACCTCCCAGTGCGACCATGCGTTTTTGCACTAAACTTGCAGCAAACAGGTCGTTAACTCTGTGAATGGTAACTTCTTTACCTCTACGCTCACTAACGTAAATCGTCCTAAATTTTGCACGAAGGAAAATGAACAATTTCCGTTTAACGGTCGATTTTTGGAAATGATCTAACGGTCAGTGAGCAGTTTTCCCACCAAAAACTTTACTTGCCCGTACGTGAGAAAAGCGCATACCTGGGAACCAAATTTGAAATCTTTAAGTTGTACCTAGACAGAAACGTCCCCTTAAAATTTCTCTCGTCCAGATTCTCTAGCTCTCGAGTTAGCAGTTTTCCCGCCAAAACTCTCAAGCGCCCATGTGCAAGATCCAGACGTGCACGAAGGCTGGTACGTAGTCGGGGGAGGGGGACTTAGCCGCGAAACTCACTGGTAAAATTTTACCATCGAGCTTGCTTAGTTGCCTAGTCGAAATACCTGGAAAAACGCACGCAGACATACACGCATACATACATTTATACACACATACACCACGATCGCCACGTTGTGTTTTTGTGTGCAAAAACGCATAAATATGTGCCAAAAACTATCACAAAAATGCATGATTTTGTACGTGCCACTAAGAACACCAGCTAATAATAACTATATTTTATTGGCCATGTGACATATTGGTTTATTACTGGCTAGATACTGGACTAAAAAGTATGCATTATAGAAATAATCTTGATTTAGAATATCAGGGTCACAAAAAAGTGGAATAGCGACGTGGTCCCTCTTGCTCAAAGTCGTGGCAGCTGCAAAGTTCCATCGAAACTGCCGCCAGGAAGTTTGCTTCCATCGACGCTGATGAAGTAGACATTTGTCAAAAGAGCTTTCGCAGAAACGTCTTCGTGGGAGGTTTTGGCGAAAAAAATCATTATCCTTGGAGCCAGAAGAATTAGGAGGCTGAAAATTTCAAGAGGATGTTTCCTGTCTAAGCGGGGCTTCACAAAACTCGAATTCAATTTCCAAGTATGCCAAGGTTCCACGTACGACCACGTGGAAGTTATGTCTCAAAGATCATTCAAAAGCCAGAAAATTAGCAGATTGAAGTTTTGAAAGGATATTCACCCCTCAAGGTTTCTAATTCAGTTCTCACGTACTTATGCGTGAAATTTTCAACTATTTTTCAACATTTCAACTATTTTTGCACATACCAAAGTGCAAAAGAGTGGAAATTATTAACAGGCAATCGTTCGGTGGACGAAACTGCACAAAACGCATGATCGCACCGGCTATTCTGGTGCGCGCTGCTATTTGTTTTCCATTTTTGCCTGGTGTGGGTGAAAAACCTCCAACGGTGTCCAGACATCGCGCGGGTATTTTGCACTTTTTTCTTCAAAAAAGACAGCATTGCCAGCTGAAGTTTCCTCCCTTGTTTTTAAAACATAAACTGAAAAAAGCAAATTATGACGAGTTCATACAAGTTCGTATGCGTTGTCTGTTTGCTTGAATGCTACAACGGCCAGAACCACAAGATTGGAAAGTTATAAGTCCTGAACACATATCCGTGGCCACAGATCATAGTAACTGCTCAGGTATTCTTTGTAAAAACTTCTGTAGCCTGTAAATAGTATTAATTCGGAAGCTCTTCAGACTAATTATGCATATCTGCTTCGCCTTTTCCATGAATTGCAGGAGTGTGCAAAAGCTTTGCAACAAGACAAGTCATCATCGTTGACCGATGCAAAAAATGCCCTCGAATTTGGCATGTTTGTTGGAGAGGAGGCTCAACTAAACGATGAAAATGATGCACAGGCATGGATCGATTCACAGCGAGCAGACTACGTCAATTTCTTGGTACCATTTTCGATGTGGTTCTTTTTGTGCCCGAGACATAAAAATAAGATTCACGATAAGAGATTTTGGGTTCGAGAAGTTTCCCAGTAAACCTCATCTCGCA